ATGGTAACAGTCACCGTTGGGTGACTGCAGCAGGTGGTAAGTGGCCCTAACGGCAGCTGTACTTCAAGGGAGCGGGGCAGAAATTAGGGTGACTCTTTGAAGCAGGACAGGGCTTTTTGAAAGTGGACTTAGATTAGTTGTAAATGTATAGGGCACACTGCTAAAAACTTTAAAAAGCAGCATCGTTGATAAAGAGAGGGGGAAGTGGTATCTTATATAGAACCACTAAAAACGGGGAGACAGGAAAAGGGGAAATTTTTTTGCAGGAAGAGCAAGTGCACTGAATACACACCACTGCAAAGATGGGAGATATTAATCCAACTACGTCATTCTATTAAGCGCAAATGGTCTAAATACACCAAACAGGAAACAGAGACTGTCAGAGTGGATAAAAAAACGCAAGACCCAAGCATGCGGTGCCGACAAGAAACTCACTGTAAATATAAACAAATGGGAGATCTAGCAGAAGTGCGGGAGGGGCAGCTATGGAGCCAACCTGCCTATGATTAGCTGGGCCCCTTCTTTTACCTCCCTTGGCCTCAGTTTTTCCTTCTGTAAAATGGGGATAGGAATAGTTCTGATCAGACAAAGGTGTGAGGATGAAACAGCTAATGATAAATACATAAAGTATTTAGTATGTTGATACTATGATATATATATAAATACATATGAAGTATTTATATCTAATTCTAATATTTATGCCTAAATACATATATAGTATTTAGAATGTTGACTGGCACTTAGCATTGTAAGGCTATGCTATGCTGTTTATTATTATTATTATTATTATTATTACTATTGTGATGATCGTCACAGAAGCACAGCTCCAGGACATGTTGTCCAGCTTTGTCTTCCATCCCAGTTTTCACTTAGAAGCATCCCCTAAATAGAAACCCTAGAGTCATCCACTTTTTCCTAGAGTTTTAAGACCAGAATCAGCTATAGTTTTCAGGGTCCAGTCAAAAATGAAAATGCAGAGCCCCTTGTTCAAAATTACTAGGATCTCAAAGCTGGCAGAGCTCTGAATGAAGTGCAAGGCCCAGAGTGACCGCACAGATCACAGGGCAGAGTCAGAATATAGGATGCTGACCAGCCACCCTTCCCCTTCCCCTGGCCCAGCCTGCTGCACCCAACCCAGGTCAGGAACACCATGACCTCCTGCCTGTGAACACATGCCTCTGGGCCACGGAATGCCAGCCTAGACGCACTCCTTGCTAAAGAACTACTCTGCTCAGTAAGGATGGCTGCCATCCAAAAGACGAACAACAACAAATGTTGGCGAGGTTGTGGAGAAAGGGGGACCCTCCTACACTGCTGGTGGGAATGTAAATTAGTTCAACCATTGTGGAAAGCAGTATGGAGGTTCCTCAAAATGCTCAAAATAGACTTACCATTTGACCCAGGAATTCCACTTCTAGGAATTTACCCTAAGGATGCAGCAGCCCAGTTTGAAAAAGACAGATGCACCCCTATGTTTATTGCTGCACTGTTTACAATAGCCAAGAAATGGATGCAACCTAAGTGTCCATCAGTAGATGAATGGATAAAGAAGATGTGGTACATATACACAATGGAATATTATTCAGCCATAAGAAAACAAATCCTATAATTTGCAACAACATGGATGGAGTTAGAGGGTATTATGCTCAGTGAAATAAGCCAAGCGAAGAAAGACAAATACCAAATGATTTCACTCATCTGTGGAGTATAAGAACAAAAGAAAAACTGAAGGAACAAAACAGCAGCAGAATCACAGAACCCAAGAATGGACTAACAGTTACCAAAGGGAAAGAGACTGGGGAGAATGGGAGGGTAGGGAGGGATAAGGGTGGGGAAGAAGAAAGGGGGTATTATGATTAGCTTGTATAATGTGGGGTTGGGGGAAAGGGGAGGGCTGTGTAACACAGACAAGTAGTGATTCTACAACATCTTACTACGCTGATGGACAGTGACTGTAATGGGGTTTGTGGGGGGGACTTGGGGTAGGGGAAAGCCTAGTAAACATAATGTTCTTCATGTAATTGTAAATTAATGATAACAAAATTTAAAAAATAAAAATAAAAAAAGAAATACTGTGCTGCCTGCTTCCTGTCGAAGTCCCAGACCCAGGATGTCATGGACCCACCAGAGCTTGGGGACCAGGTCTGGAGAGGGGAAGAGTGGAGCTAACATTGTTTCTGGGAGCCTCAGGCAGGCATGGGGTGAGAAGTCTTGATTTCAGGGGGACGCCTACTCCAGGAGCCCGGGGCTGCAGCAAGTCCCTGCTGTCCACATACTCTCCCACCCACTCTCTACCCTCAAGTCACCTGGTTGGCAATGCACAGCCCCCCATCCCCTCCAGGGGGGTGGGGCTAGCAGACTTCAGAGCTTTGCACTTCTAGGGAGCTCCATTTACCAGCCTGGCAAAAGTCCAGGGGTTCAGGCTCACTCTGGCTCCTCCCTGCCCCATCACCACCTGGAGCCCCCTGCCCTTGGGGGGGATGTCAGGATGAAGGCAGGGAAGCAGGGAGGGAGCTCACTGGCCCAGGCCCTGGCATAAGTGGCTGCCCAGGGTACCCAGCCTGCAGGCGATTCCCAGCGAGTGTGGGTGTCAGGCAAACAAGCTTTAAGTGTCCAGTGGCCTAGCGGCCCACCCAGCTCTGAAACACACCCATTCTGCCTCTAGAGGGGCGAGGCCTGATAGTAACCCAGTGACTACAGGGTGATCCCCCAAAAACCTACTGCCTTCCACCCTCTTTTGTGTATCTTGTCAATGGGGAGGGACACGGGCAGACCAGAGTGTGGGCCAGCTGGGGTTTACTCAAAGATACCACCCACCCCAGCCTCCGCAGGGCAACGAGAAAGCCTCTCACTGCTCCCCCCTTTCCATTCTCTGCCCCCACAGAAATGAATCTGGCAGGCATGCCGCCAAGCTCGAAATCCTGAAGTGTGAGCAGCAGCCTCCGGGGGGTGCCGGCAGCAGGGAGAAGAGCTGGGGCGGGGCTGGCTCCCTCTGCGGGACCCTGATCCCTCCTCCTCCCCTTTGGCGTCTGGAGCTGGGGGGTGAGGGGTGCTTCTGTCTGACCCCTCAAATCAAGAACAGAGTAGGAGAAGCTCACAGGCTTGCATGGAGAGACCGGCAGGGACAGCAGGGCTGTTTGGTCCAGGAGAAAGCAGGAGGGAAGGCGGAACACAGCGGCTTCAGTTGGGAGCTCCACACTTGGCAGGAGTTGGGGCGGAGAGAAGGAAGAGGAAACCGGTGCAAGTAGAGCTTCTGCCCAGCAGCCTCTGGACTGTGCGAGCTAACTCGTGCCATCCCAGAACAGGGGCCCCGAGGCACGCATCTGTTACTAGTATTGCTGTTGTCCTGACCTGGGCCCGCAGCTCCCCACGTGTGGACAACTCCTTGGCCTCCCCGAGGAGGGGGTGGGCTTGGCTAACTTACCTGGGTCTCCAGGAGGCTGCCGTCCTTCACGCAGGCTCCGAGGCAGGGCCCCCTTCCCGAACTTGCCTCTATCTCAGGCCCCAGCTTGGGTTGTTTTAATACCTGGTTTGCTCTCGCTCAGCGCCAGTTCCCGGGGACCCACCAGTCCATCTTGGGAGGCTCCAAGGGCACTCATCTCGCACAGTCAGGGTAAGAGAAACACTCGGCAATGAACTGAAGTTGGTCATGGGAGTTAGTTCCATTCATTCTACAGTCATCCATTTATTTAACAGATATTTCTTGTGCCCCATCCATGCCAGACGCCATGCTGGAGGTAGAACTGCATGAATACAGACAAGGACGGCACCCACCTCCCGGCATGCCTCGGGTGAACACATTTCCCAGCCGGCCACCGCGGTGATGATGAGAATCACCCGAGGGGCTTGCTAAACAGTGCCCGGGGCCCCCTCTCCTGGAGTTTCCGACTCTTGGGCTGGGGAAGGGCCCAGGACTCTACATTTTTTAAAAGTATTTCACATGATTCTTAAAGATGGGGTTTGGAAACATTGTTTCAAAGAAGAGGAATTACAAACAGAGCTACACACCAGGAAGGGGGGGGGACCAAGAGGCTCTGTCAGAGAGATGGGGAACAGCTTTCATGGGGAGCTGGCTGGGAGCTAAAGCACAAGGCTTTTAGCTGGGTCACGAAGGGAGGGACAGGTGTGCCTACAGAGGGACCAGCACATGCAAAGGGCCCTGTGGAAGTGGAAACCCACTGTGGCTGGAGCTCAGGTAGAGGGGAAGCTGGAGAGAAGGATCAGAGTTGAGGCCAGGGTGGGGGTGCCCTAGGAGCACTGGGGAGCCCTGGAAGGGTTGTGTGGGAGAGGCACTGGCGTGATCGGTGTTTTGGGAAGGTGCGTCATTCAGCGGATACGTACACAGAGCCTCAGACGCCCGGGGCCAGAATCCAGCAGAATCGGACTTCTCTCTCAGTTCCCTCTTTCTGTGGGCCCCTGGCAGAGGGAGGAGGGGGACCCCAGGTAGCCTGGGGCCCACCGTGCAGACAGGAAGCTCCTGACTTGGTTTCCGCTCGCACTGCTGGGCCCACCTCTGCACACCCTCAGGCCCAGCAGTCAGTGGGCATCTCCCGAGGGAGGGAGTCTGCTTCCCAGTCCCACTGCCAGGGTCCCTTACCCCTCAGAAGGCGGTGCCAGGACACGCCCCCCCACACATTCCACCCACCCCTCTGCCGCCCAGGGTCATCTGCCAAGATGCTGACAGACAGGCAAAGGGAACACAGCAGACATTCAGCCCCTCAAGGGACTCTCCACCTCTTCTCGGCACCTGACTGGACGCACCCTGGGGAGCAGGGGGCCCTCAGCCCTTCCTCAGTGGCAGAGGCTGGTAGGAAAGTCAGCAGTTCCCGGTGGGGGGGCTATCAAGCGCCACTGGCACTGACCAGCCTGGTGCCCCAAGTCCGCTTGGGGGGCGTGGCTACAGAGTGGGTCTTATTTGCATACATGAGGGGCGTGGCCAACCTGCTGGCATAATTCTTGATCTGTGATCTCCCCGCCTTACTGCCCCATTAACCCAGGGACGCTGCCACCCACCGGCTCAGAATCTTAATCTCCTCTGTCTAGATTTAAAGCTCCTGGAGCGGTCCCTGGAATCCAAGCAAGGTGGAGGGAGGAGCAGGAATGCCCCATCCTGGGACTGACCGGACCGCTCCCTGGGACCCTTTCTGGGAAAAGCCAAGTCTACTGTGAGAATCCAGGATGGGCGGCGGGGTGGAGGTACAGCAGCACTCTCGGCATCCTTCCATTCCCAGGGCAATTTGCTCCCTCCATCATGCCCAGCCCCCGCTCCCCCCAGCTCACCTCGGGGGCCTCAGACTCTCCATCCTGGTCCAGCGGCAGCAGTGAGGACCCTGCCACCAAGCTCGCTGTTGTTTGCTGCATCTGTGTGTGGACCAGGGAGTCCTCTGCTGGCAAGGCCTCTGGAACCGTCCCCTCCACCCCTGGCAGGGAGCCGCTGAGGCCATGGGGTGGCTAACTGCTGCTAGGTAAGCAGGACCAGCCTGACAACCCAGACCAGTTAGCAGGCCCTGTGAAAGGGGTCACAGGAGACAAGCCCCTTGGGAGGTGACTGGGGGCAGGGCCGGAACCAGGTCAGGCAGACAAGGAGCAAAATATAAGGGCACCCCCCAGTCCCTACATATGTGGGCCCTGTACTGGCAGGCCCCTGAGCCCAAGGGCCTCTATACAGTTGTGTGTCAATTTATTATCTAAGTTTTCAAGATATTTTTTCCATTTTTTAATCCAATGTTTTCTGGTGTCATATGGAAATGTTCCCAAATCCACACAGATACCTACTATGTAGGAGAACGGGGTGGAAAGGAGGGAATGGGGTGGCCTGCACCAGCCATGGTGAAATTCCCATAACAGAAAATTCAACATTTCAAGGTGCACGATTCAATGGTGTTTAGTGCATTTACAGTGCCGTGTGACCATCACCTTTGTCTGGTCCTGGCACATTTCATCTCCTCCCAAGGAGGCCTACCCCCACCCTCCAGCCCAGACCTTAAAAAGTGGGCGGACCTGAGCGGTGTACCTCCTTATGACCCTGCCCTGCTGGAGTGTGAGGGTTCCCTGGCCGGCCTCTCAGCTCCCCTTCGGGCTGACCCCTTATTGGGACAGGAGGCCACATGCCCCTGGGGGAGGCCAGTCCTCCAACTCACGTCTTCAGCTGTGGTCCCCATCTTCTGGGACCCCCAACAGCGGGGGGCTGAGCTGTGAGCAGCAAAGGATTCCTGCTCCTGGGACACCCCCCTGCTGTCAGGGCTGGGGCAAGGCCAGCAGCCTCCCAGCCGCCCCCCTCAGGCCCTGCTGGGCTCTGTTCTGCACGGTGCCCACACCACGCCCGCCCCCAGAGGAGCGCCAGGAATCCCGAGCAGCATAGCTGGGTGGGGGAGGGCAGAGCGGCTGCTCTGGGACACAGAGTGTCTCCCGCCCAGCCCATCTGGGGTCACAGGGGGAGACGGTGCAGCCGGAGGCTCAATGCCGAGCCCCCAGCCCAATACAGAGACTTAGGCTGAGTTGTTGTGTGTGTTCTCGGGAGAGGAAGGGCTCCACACAGCTCCTCAGGAACTCTGTATGCTTGGAGCCTGCTTGCCGCTCCTGCCCTTCCCCCCACCTCATGAGGGGACACTTGTCAGGAGTGTCTCCGGACCATGGGAGCAAACGGCTAGGACTTGGTGTGATGGCGATACACACACGTTTCCGGGCAAGGCAAAAACTGTGGCCGCTCCCCTCCCAGCCCTTGCTGCCTGGTGCTGGCTGGGCTATGTGTGGGGTCCGGGGAGCCCCAGTGGGGAGCCACCTGGGGCCAGCGCCAGCCCGCCCTAGCTGTGTCGCTGTGAGCAAGCCACCTAGCCTCTCTGTGCTCCACCTCATCTGTAAAGTGGGAGCAGGCACAGCAGGGCCTCAAGGATGAGTGTGCGATCCGCTGAGCTAAGGGCCCAGAAGCACATCAGCTCCAAGGATTGTGACAGCTGATCATTGCTGTCTGTCAGCAGAGAATGGAGAAAGGATGCTCCCCCAGGGCAGCTGCTCTGTGAGCAAGGCTGTGGGGTCCTCTGTCCTTTAGACCACCCCACAGGGCTGGCCTTTGATGGTGGCCTTGCAAGAACCCTCCTGGATTCCAGCCTGTGGCCAGTGGGTCAGACCCTGTAGTGATGCAGTGGAGCCTGAGTCCCGCCTCGGCCATTTATGCACTGTGTGACTATGGGCAAGTTTCTTAGCCTCTCTGTGCCTCAGTGTCCACTTCCATAAAACAACATGATAAATAGAACCCATGTTCCAAGGCTGAGTGATGATTAAGTGAGTTAGTAATTTTAAAAAACTGCCTAGCACAGAGCAAGTACTCAATAATGTGGGATGTTATTTTTAAACTACTACTGAATATCCTTTATATGCAGAGTCAGTCTTAACAATCACCCTGCAAAAGGGCATCCGGGTAACAACGACAGTGTTATTGGGCCCATTGTATGGATGACAAACTGAAGCTCAGAGTGGTGACATGGCTCTCCTGAGAGCAACACAGCTGGGGGGGTGGGAGTTGGAGTCCAAATGAGAGCCCAGATTCAATGTGGAAGCGCTGCTTTTAACCATATTATACCAATGCCCCTTTTAAACATTAAGAGGCTCCCTTCCCCACACACACGAGCCTTGTACTCAGGACTTGTCAAGAAATATTGATTAGCATCGACAGGTCAATATCAATTCAGTAATGTATCAACACACATCTAAATAGTAGTGTAGATACAGCTTGAGACGTATTATGTATTTTTTCTTCGCATGTCCTGACGCTCATATGGGCTCAAAGACCCTCCTGATAGTGCTAAGGCTTCCCTAGGGGTCCTCACGAAGGGGCCCACTACACAGATGAGGAGACTGAGGCTCACTGAAGTTCAGAAACCTTCCCAACTCAGGCCTGTGTGAAGTCAGTCGATCTTCTCTGAAAGATCACTGACCTCCACCTGCCTAACTGATGTCGCTTGTGTCCGATGTTCAGGCTCTTGTGTCCTTGTGGCCCCTGTAAGTGCCCTGGGGGTGGGGGTGTCACAGTCATAAAGAAACATTTGCAATCCTCAAAGTTGAAACCAAAAAAAGGCCTTCTGCATCACCTTTGTTAAACCAGGAAATGAAAACTCTCCAGGACTTTGGCATTCCTCCAGCATTGCTCTAGAGGTTTTGCTATACTTTTCCTGGCCTCAGTTTTGCTTAATTAGTGAGACAAAATTGGGAAATAGAATAGTGTCCAAATAAATTAGTGCCCCAACAGCACCAGCCTTTATGTCTGACACCCCATGTGCCTTCTTTTAATGCATCCCAACTGGGAAGTGCACTGTAAGGATAGTCACTTTTATAATTGGGCACAATAATACATTCTGAACAATTCACATAGGGAGAAAATGGTGTCACAGGAAGTCATCTGAACAGGAGTCAAGTGACCTGGCCTCTACTCCAAATCTGCCTCCCCCCACTTGAAGTCCCTTCACCTCTTCACTCCCAGGCCTCAATTTTCTAGGCTGGGTCAAAGGGTCTTTTGGAGGGGCCTCAACAAGTTGGAGTGACAAAATCAGCTACCTAAAGGGTGAGCAAGCAACATATGTGAGTGAAGGAGGACCAGTGTGTGGCAATAGGGAGTGGTGGGGACTGTGGCAAAACAAATGCTTCAAGCTCAGTATACCAGCTCTCAGGAATGTGGGCACAGGGTAGTCAGATAATCCTATCTTTAAGATTGGTCAAAAAAAAATTTTGTTTTGATGCAGTATTTATTATTTAATGTTGACAGTTTCGAAGGCTTCCCACAAATAGAGACTCAGGTCCATGCCTATCAGCCTTGTCAGCCCCTACATTTTCAACTCCATCTCCCTTCCTGTAGTTTCTCACTTTGTCTCCAAAGCCTGCTGCATTTCTAGCACAAGTCTGGTCTTCTGAAAAATGCTAAAATGCTAGGGTAGGCCATGGAGGCAGGAAAAGGCTAGAAGCGTGAGCATATGCTTCCGCACACACACACTCCCTGCTTGGGGAGTAGTGTGTCCCCTGGAGCCAGCTGGACAGCAAGTCAACTGGGAGATCCTCCAAGTCCTCCCGATTTGTCCTTGGGCCTGGCAGGGAGCCAGCACTTGGAGCTGTCTCTAGGATTTCCTGCCTGGGCTGAGGGGGCCAGGGGGCGGGAAGAGATACCCCCTGAGGCTGTGGTCAGTATGCCAGCTTCTGAGAGCCACAGCGGGGCCCCATATTGCTGGTCCCTACTGTAAACAGCAAGCAGGCTGGGAGGCTTACCTTACCCACATTCAAAGGCAAGCACACTCTTTTCCTCCTAAAACTCAGAAATAACCCACCAGTCCATGATGGACATAGACGTACATTTGTGTGTAATTGGCCACTTACTATTTGTTCAGTTGCAATGGGACACCCGCTGTGTACAGGGACTGTGGGTACAGAGGCGGCTAAAATCTCAGGGTATCTCCATTCCCCTCACTTGCCTTCTGCCCCCACCCTCTGCCAAAATCACTACATCGCGCTTACCCAAAGCCTCCTGGGCACCAAACTCCATGGTCTTTCTTATTTCCTTACTTAAAAAATTTAACTATGAACACAGCCAATATCACTCGTCATTAGGGAAATGCAAATCAAAACTACAGTGAGATACCACCTCCCACCCATCAGAATGGCTAGTGCCCCTAGAACAGAACAAAATGTTGAAAACAATGTGGAGAAATTGGAACCCTTGTTGGTGAGAATAGTATGGTGGTTCCTCAAAATTTTTTAATAGAATGACCATATGGTCCAGAAATTCCTCTTCTGGGTATGTATGCCCAAAGAATGGAAAGCAGGGTCTCAAAGAGGTATTTGTACCTCCATGTTCACTGTAGCATTATTCACAATAGCTAAAATGTGGAAGCAAGCCATATGCCCATCAACAGCGGAATGAATGCAAGATGTGGTCCATCCATACAATGGAATATTCCTCCACCTTAACAAGGAAGGAAATTCTGACACGTGCTACCGCACGGGGGAGTCTTGAAGACACTATGCTGAGTGAAACAAGCCAGTCATACACAGAAAGACAAATACCGTACGACTCCACTTACATGAAGTGGAGGAGTCAAAGTTATACAGAGACAGCAAGGAGAACGGCAGTTGTCAGGGGCTGGGGAAAGGGGGATTTGTTGCTTAATGGATGTAGACTTTGTTTTATATGATGAAAAGAATCTTGGAGATGGATGGTGTCAAGGGCTGCACAACCTTATGAATGTACTTAATGCCACGGAACCGTGTACTTGAAAATGGCTAAGATGGGAAATTTCATGTTAGGGGGACTTTATCACACTAAGACAAGTTGAAAGGATTCTTAACAATGAGCACACCCATCAGTCAGACACTGGTTTCTACATATTATTCTACAACAAAAGGAGCCAGGGTTCCTTGGAAAAATAGCTGATTCTACACCTGGAGCAGAAAAAAAAAATGCAAGAGCATCTTAGAGGGCTGGAAGTAAGGCAATGTGCAAAACAAACAAACAAACAAACAAAAAGCACCAAAAAACACCAAAAGGATGATGGATGGGTGTCCAAGGGACACCAGAACCAACTTGAAAAAGCTCCCAGTAGCCAAAGCTGGAACAACTAGAGCAACTCAATAAATAAGACAGAACTGGATACCAATCCAAAGTATAAAATAAATATTCATGAGTACATACGGATACAAATACATGAGAGAATAAGCGAAGGTGAAGGGACATATTTTCCTTAGAGAAGAATTACAAGTAATATATGTAAATATTCCCCGTCCAAGAGATGGAGCTTAATAGCCCTGCCCTCATATGTGGGACAGACTCACTGACCCACTTCTAAAGAACAGAGTACGGAGGAAAGGCCGTAAGCGTAGGGCGGAGAAACCCGGCAGGCTCCACCCTGACCGAGTGACGGGTCAGCGCCACCAGGGACCCAGGTGGATGTCGTGAATGCCCTGATGATGTGAGGCCGAACAGGGTGCTTCGCCTCAGTGTTTCCCCAAAACCCGTAACCCCAGCCTAACCACGAGAAAACATCGGACAAACCGAAACTCAGGGACATCTGACAAATACCTACAAACCCAAGTAAGTACTCTTCCAAGCTGTCAAGGTCAGGAAAAATAAGGAAAGACTGAGAAATGGTCATAGACAAAGGAGACTAATAACTAAATGCAATGTGGAACCCTGGGTTGGGTATTAGAACAGAAAGATGATAAAACAGTGGAAAAACAGATAATCCTGGAATTTAGTTAATAGGGATGCATTGGTGTTAATTTCTTAGTTTTGCCAAATGTACCATAACAAATGCTTATAGAAGATGTTAACATCAGGGGAAGGTGGGCGAAGGGTGCGTTGACTCTGGGTCATCTTTCCAACGTTTCTATAAATGTAAAACTATTGCAAAAGAAAGTCTATTTAAAAAAACACTTCCTCCTAATTAATAAAGGAACACATGTACACTGTAGATAATTCATAATATCAACAAATAAGAAGCCAGTGGTTGCTTACCAACGGCTCTGTTAACATTCCAGTGCATTTCAATGCAATCTTTGTTCCTGTGCCCTTTTGACACAATTGTGAACAGGTTTAATCGCAATTTTGAACTCTGTGCTTTTAGCCTGACAAGCACATTCCTTCAGCATTCAAGCATTTGGTGAGCATCGCTTTGTAGCTGCCTAATATTCCATGATTTGGTTGTATGAGTGGTTAACTTTGCTTAGCTGCTCTCTGGGGTTGGACGTAATGTTCAGATGTTTCCTGTAACTAGCTCATACCTCTGGGTCTGCACTGGGGCTAGTTTTCTAATAATAGAGTCTTAAGGAAGACCTAAGTCGAAGGGTGTGGGTATTTTTAAGGCTCATGACCCACACTGCCAATTTGCTTTCCACAAGTGTACTGCCGTGGGCATCCGGGTCCATGGCCTACTTAGGATGCCCGCTTCCAAAGGGCTTTCCTTAGACCTTCATCTGAACATCTCTGCTCTTGCCACTCTTTCTGTGATCCCCTTGACATGGCTTCTTCTGGGCTCTGTCTTCTTCTCTGACCCCCGCTGGTCCCATGCCCACACCAGCAGACATCCCACCAGCGAGCCTCCTGCACAAGCCCATCTGTTCTGAGGCTTCGGGTATCTGCCAAATCCCCCAGCGTAGCCTCGCCAGCCTCTCATGACATTTCCACTTGCCTTTCAGATACTTACACCAGGACGTCCCTTGGACAATGATTCCAACCCCACTCAAGGACATAGCATCCCCAGACACCCGCTGCCCGTGCCTGGCATCTCTGCCCCATCCTGGTCTCCCACTTGCTCTTGAAGATCCTCTGGGGTCCTCACTGCCTGTAAGTGGACTTGTTATGAACAGTGCGTTCAAGGCCTCAAACAGCACTGAAACTCACTGCAGGAAAATGGGACTTTTCTATCCTTTTTCAAGCAAACTTAGGTCCAGGACAGGGTCTCCACTGGATGCTCTGTAGTCTTTAACACCTCTTGAAGACTTGCTTATCTCCCTTCTGAACAAAAGGAGGGAGCCTTCAGAAGTGATGATACTGGGCAGACAGTATTACCTAACCAGACATCGTTAGCCATATTGTGTTTTGTTCAACACTGGGCAAAGCAGGTTTCCTGTTTTCAGTCACACTCTAAATCTGCCTTGAAAGTGACATTAAAGATTTTTTTTTTTGCTACTCAAAGTGTGGTCCCTGGAGCATCAGCGTCATCTGGGAGCTTGTTAGAAATTCAGAATCTCAGGCTCCACTGCAGACTCACTGACCCAGGGTCTGCCTTGTGGCAAGGTCTCCAGGGGATCTGGGTGCACGCCCTTAAACTTCAGGAAGCACTGATGGGAAGGATGAAGCTTGGGGAACACTGACCTCAGGAAAAAGTCAAAACTATTTGTCCTTCATGATGTGGCCTCAGTGACTCTTCTAGATGGTTCACAACTCTCTCCAACGGATTCCCCCCCCAGGACTCTAACTCCCTGCCTTTGTCCTTCTGTCCCTCTCAGCAGAAAGCACACTGTCTTCTGTCTCAACCCCTCCTCCTTCAAGATCCGCCTCCAGTAGTACTTCCTTGTTCTCTTAATTGAGGCGAATTTCGTGTCACATAAAGTGAACCACCTGAGGTGGACAATTCTGAGGCATTTAGCACATTCATGATATTGTGCAACCACTGCTATCTCATCCCAGAACATTTGTATCACTCTAAAACAGAACCCGGTACCCACAAAGCAGTTACCTCCCGTTCCCCAACCCCCGGCATCCATCCATCTGCTCTTTTACAGAATTACCTGTTCTGGACATTTCATATAAATGCAATCATTTTGCGTGTGGCTTCTTACACTAGGTATGATGCATTTAAGGGTCATACATGTCGCAACAGGCTTCCTGCCTTTTTTATGGCTGAATGCGGTTCCAAGGCATGGACAGACCGCATCTCATGTCCCACTCACCCACACATGGACATTTGGGGTGTTTAAACCTATTGACTACTGTGATTTGTGCTGCTGTGAACAAGTATTTGAGCATGTTCTCATTGTTCCTAACTTATACACTGAGGAGGAGAACTGCCAGGTGGCATGGTAGTCTTACATTTTACTTTGGAGGCCATGTCAGTTCTTTATAGAGCTTTCCCAAAACCCTACCTGCCTCCTCCTGCCCCACCCACAGGACTGATACCATCCGCCTCCTCTCTCTCTCACAGCAATTTCTAAAACACCCTGCCCAGCAAAGCTGGGATTTAAACCCAGGACTTTCGACTCCGAGCCCTAGTTTTTTGCAGCACCCACACAGCTGACAGTCACCTCCACCCTGGACTGACCTCATTTGATAGATGGATGTCAGGCTGGGAGCTCCCTTGAGACCACACAGCTCCTAAGTGGCAGCTGGGCTCTGGGCTCACAGCTCCGGTGTCCGATCTTTGGCTGCCATGGTCTATGCTGTGCTCTGAAATAGACAAGCAGGTTTTTAAAAAATGCAGCCTTTTCTACTGCCGGGGATGCTGAGTATCTTGCAATGCTGCGTCCCCGAGGGATCAGTCTGTCTCCTCCTGGCATCTGCCCCAAGGCCGGTTCTGCAGTAAGGGATGAGCTCTAAGAAATCTTACTTTAGGCAAATTTATTTTGGCTCTTAAAATATATTTGTATATATTTTTTCTTTTCATGTTAGGAGGAAAGGGAGAAAAATCACACGCTCTTTTGTTTTTCAGCCTTTTCCACGTTGACGCAGCGAGAGGAAATGGTGAGGAGCGGGGCGCTGAGGGCCTGTGGCGGCAGCTCAGGTGTAGCCCACCAGGCGCGGGGTGCAGGGGAAGGTCTTGCGCATGCCCATGCACTTGTCCTTGTCGATGCACAGGGTGCTGGCCTTGATGGACAGCTCATGCTCCAGCCGGCACTTGGTCATCACCAGCAGCTGCAGCATGTCCCGGCTCTCCCGCAGCCTCAGCTTCAGGGTCTGCAGGGTGTCGTCGATAGTGAACACCTCGTTCATGAGCCTGGAACGAGAGCAGAGGACAAGGTGCCGGTCACAGAGCTGCTCCACGCAGATGCACCTACTGTGTGCCAGGAACCATGCCAGGGGCTGGGAGACAGCCATGAGTGAGACAGATGAGGCTCAGCCGGCAGGGAGGACGGAGGCAGGAGAGGCAGAGTGTCTGGAAGTCATGAGCACAGAGGAAGAGGCAGATGGGACGTTCAGGAAAACCACGCGGTGGTGCCCCAGTAAGTCATGCAGACCTACTGTATGACACAGCAATTCCACTCCTGGGTCCGGACCCGTGAGAACAGATACTCAAACATTTGCACAAATATGTGCGCACCGCTAATCACAAGAGTCAAAAGGGGAAAACGACCTAAGTGTCCTCTGATGGCTGAATGGATACACAGAAGGTGGCCTCTCCATGCAACAGGCTGTTATTCAGCCATAATAAAAAGGAATGAAGCTCTGGTACCTGTGACAACACAGATGTACCTTGAAGACATGATGCTGAGTGAAGGAAGCAAAAGGGCATATAGGGATCCCACTTCTATGAAACGTCCAGAATAGGCAAATCCAGAGAGACGGAAAGTAGGTTGGTGGTTCCCGGGGGGCTGGCGGGAGGGTGGCAGGGGGTGACTGCTAACGGGTATAGGGTTTCCTCTTGGGTGCAATGAATGAAGGTGTTCTGGAGCTAGACGGCTGTGGGGATTGCACAATACTGCCAATGTACTAAATGTCACTAATGGTAAATTTTGTGTTATATGTATTTTACTTTATTGTTCTCGCTGCAATGGGGAGGCTTTGGGGGTAGAGGTTGAAATGGGGTTGGAGGGATGAAGTGCTGATTGAAATTTTGGGATAACTTCCAGGCTGTGTAAAGATTAGATTGAAAGGGGGCAACAATGGAGATAGGAGAGAGGTTGGGAGCTTACTGCCATGTCCAGATTGGGTGGGATGAATAGCATCCCCCAAAAGGTGTGTGTCAGTCTGAGCTCCCAGAGCCTGTGATGGGATCCTACTTGGACACGGGGCCTTCGCAGATGTGATAAAATTAAGGGTCTCGAGATGACATCATCCTGGATTTAGGATGAGCACTAAATCCAACGAGTGTCTCCTTGTAAGAGAAAGGAGAGGGAGATGTGAGACACAGAGACACACACGGGGATGAAGGCCACGTGACGCTGGGGGCAGAGACGGGAGGGCGCCGAGGAGTGCGCGCAGCCCCGGAGGGAGGCTTGGTGCAGGCTGTCTCTCGGAGGCCCAGTTGGAGGCACTTCGTTAGAGCAGCCCTAGGAGACGAGCCCACCAAGGGAGCCACGACAGCGGCCTGGACGCAGAGCTGGGCCGTGAGTCCCCCTTTGTGCTCACTCGGGGCTGGAGGACACACCGCTGGCCCGACCTGAGCACCCCGGGGCAAGCCCGAGCTGGAGAGAGGCGGCCGAAGCAGCTGGGGAGCCCTTCTCCCCCTGGGGATCTCTAGACCAGCTCTACACACTGTGTGGCAACGTTCTGGGCTGTGCTGTGCTGTGCTGTCCACCACAGCAGCCCGCAGCCGCACGTGGTTACTGACCCCTTGAAATGTGGTTTGTGCAAATTAGGAGCTGCATTTAAAAAGTTATTACTTCCCTGTGATTAATTTAAATGGGCATTCATTTGGGGATCGGGCATGGATGGGACCTGAGCCACTGAGAGGGTCAGAAGAGGGGCCACTTGTAGGAGGAAAAGGAAAAAGACAGCACAGATGTGGTCACGGAGAGGCCGGGGGAGGAGTAAGGGAGGGGGTGCACAGACACAGCGCGAGTCCTACTACCTGCCCAGTTCCCAGAATGCTTGTGTATGCGCTCACTCGCGCACGCAAACACACACACACGCACACGCATACACACTGCTAAGGCTCCTGAGCCGAACATGCCCCACCCACGCTCCCAGTCTGTCCCCGTCCTGGTGGGACAGTCGGGGGTGAGCAGGCAGGGAGCTTGACCCAGAGTGACAGGTCCTCCAGGACAACATTGGGGTCCCTGAAGCGCTGTTCTGGGTAAGCCCCCTGGGAGGGACAAACGGGTTCTCAGAGACCTCCACGCCAGGGGGCCCTGGAGCCTAACCTGAGCAGGGACAGAGGGAGGAAGGATCAGGAGAACGTCCCCAAGTTCTTCTCCCAGGCCATGGACCCATTCCAGTCCGGCTGGGGAGGGACCCTGGCCACACTGCACCCACTTCCAGGGAAGACCTTCCAGGTCAGGAGCAGGAAGCCAGGCCTTCACGTGCAGCAGAGGGGACAGAACAGCCAAGGGGCCTCTCCCCAGTCATCCAGCAAGTCACAGGAAAATAATTCCCCCCATCGGATAGCCTGTTCCCTCTGCCTCCCCTCCAAAGCCCTAAGCCATGTTCACAAGCCCCGTTCCTGGGCCTGCACGACCCTTTCACCCCTCTCCTGGGCGGAAGCCCCTTGTCCAGAGAAGCGGCTAACTGGGATGGGCAGGGGGCAGCCACTCCAATGGCTCTCTGGTGGGGACTCTCCAGAGGGAGACAGGCAGGGAGATGAGGTGTGAGCTGGGAGTGTCCTCAGGGGAGCCCGAGAGGGAAGGGGGTGAGGCAGCGGAGGGCCAAAAGCCACGCCTCTGGCTGGGAGGCAGCCCCTCCTTAGCTTTCTGGGGAAAGAGCACTGCGGAGCTCCGAAACCTTCCCGCATCTAGGCAGTTGAGAAGGCTGCAGTGTGGATGGCCAGCCTTCCCCATGACGGGGAGGCTGCAGGGAGGCCCCCCAGCATTCCAGACCCCTACCCAGCACCCTGCTGAGTTGCAGGACTAGATGTCCTGATGGGAGGAGGGTCCCCTTATCACACTCAGTTTCCTCGGAGCTCCCGAGACATACCCCCACACCCCCCTTCCAGGCTCCAGTGCTCACCTGAACTGTGGGATGTCTCTGCACAGCTCCACATTGGGGCGCCGGGTCCGGCACTCCAGCCTCGTCTGCGCCACCTTCAGCGGGCACTCCTTGGCCGCGATGGACCTTTCCAGCAGCATGATGGTGTTCTCTGCCTGGACGATCTCCTGCAGCGTCTGTAGGGAACATGCAGGGTGTCCCAGAGGGAGCGCAGGTCACCTTATCCAGTCTTGGGTCAGGCACTAAAGGACTCCTCCCCGAACCCTGAACCCCCCGGGGGGCAGGGACCACACTCTCCCTAAGACAACCTCGGGCAAGCAGCTCCAGCCCCTCTTGTCACTCAGGACAGTGCCAATGCTGGGGAGGGCACCCTCCAGCTTGGCTTGGTTTTCAGTCTCCAGTATCCACAGGAGTCAGCCCATTAGTGTCCACCGAGGGAAGGAAGCAGGGAGGGAGGAGGGTCTTTAAGATTAACACAGAGAATCCCAAACAATAGCTAATCTCTACATCCACTTTTAATCTGAATTAATCCAGGGTGTTCTTAATCTTTTTACAATTCAGTTCACCTTCCTAGTAATTAAGTCAGTAAATAAACTAGGAAGAAATTAAAACGGAAGGAGGGAAGGAGGGGTGGGGTGGGAATAGGGGAGAAGAGTAGAGAGACTCAGTTTTCTATTTATCTGTAGAAATATTTTCCCCAACATAATGCCCTACAACTGGTGAAAGCACAGATCCCAGGAAGGGACAGAGGGAGCCTGGGGACCCAGAATGTTCTGTATCTCGATCCATACGGAAATGTCATAGATGTAACCATAGACAGAAAGTCATCATCTGAATTCATCAAGCTCTGCACTTTAAATAAGACTGTTTTTCCCTCAAGAGAAAATAACCCTAAAATCAGAAAAAGGTCCATGGCAAAAAAAGTCAGGCAAGATGTTGATATCCGGGTTGGCTACATGCGGGCCTTTTATGATTCTCTCCACTTCGGTGTGTTTGAAGTTTTCCAAAATAAAAAATAAAGGCACAAGAGGAGCGGGCACGCCAGCCCATTACAAGAAGGAACCGTCCCTGCACTTAGCCAACCTTAAGCACACCCAGAACTGAGAGGGCTGAACAGACGCCTCTCACTGTGGCTGAAACATCCATTCTCCTCCTACCAGCACCCCATGGCCCTAGACCTGCAAGCAGTTCCAGTTTCAGGGCCCTGCTCCTAGGAGAAGGCTCTGTGGCTAACCCTCCTCCCGGACTTGGCAGGGCCCGATGGCGAGGTTACACATGCTCGGTTTCGGACACGCCTGCAACTGGCACCTGCCACAACACCTTTGCTATGCTTCCTTTAGCCGCCTGGGTGTGTGCTTGTGTCTCCCTCTTACGAGCGCGAGAGCTCCAAGAGGTCAGGGGCTTTGTTGTGTCCCTGCCGCATCCCCGTGGCCTGGGACAGTGCTTGCCGCAGACTGAGAGCTGCCAGTTAAAATACAGGACACCCAGTTCCATGTGAGTTTCAGGGCTTCAATGAAGCATTTTTCAGTTTATGTCCAACTACTGCACGACACTAAAAAATGATTTGTTGTTGATCTGAAATTCAAGTTTAACTAGAGGGCCTGCATTTTTACTTACGAAATCTAGCAACTTGACTCACAGCAGGAGCTCAGTAAAGATTCACTGAATGAATGAATGAGCAAGAGAATGAATGACAGAGGTATGTGGAAGTCTAGATTTTTAGCAAGCTCCCCAATGGTCCTTACATACACTGAAGTTTGGGAGTAGTGTACCCTAAAATGCACATAGTCTTGTCCATCTCAGATTTCATTACCCAGGAAAACTGCTCACATGAGAGTATGTCCCTGCTCCCTGAATGGGGTGGAGACTGCAAGTGTAAGACCCAGTCCCCACCTTCCAGGACTTTATAATCATGTTGTTCTTCCCTTTTTTGTGAGCTATGAAATATTCACAAATCATAACAGGCACTGGGATGACTATTTTAGCTGAGTTGGGCACATATTCTACGGGTATCAAGAAATTGCTTGAGAGAATTTTTTTGCAAACAATTACAGGCCTGGCTTCCTTATTTGCATAAGAAAAAATGCCTAGAAAGCAAGCATTTTGCTTCTCCAAGAGGATAAAAGGATGCTCATTTCCTTCTGGTGTTGAGCCAGGTGGCAGAGTTATCTGAGGATGGGGGGTGGGGTGTTCTGCCCCCTTCAAAGCCTGCTGAGGAGGAAGGCTGGCCCCCTCCCCTGTTTCTCAGTGAGCCACCCAGAACAAGAGTGAAGCTAAGCACACGCTGGTTAAACACTATCCTGCAAGAAGGTTCTGGGCCCAGCATACGCTGTCATGTAAACACTCCAGCAGGGACACCTCTCTTAGAAGCCCTGGGGATTTTCTTCAGGGGCCCGCTGTTTTTTGGGGTGGGGGGCAGCAGCCACTAGTATGCAAAGCTCAGAATGCACCATCCTAGCAGCCACAGCACAGAAGAAAATCAAGGTTTCTGGAGATGAAAAATGCTCTTGGGACCACACTGCCCAGGGTGACAACAGCCCCTGACTCTACCATCTAGATGCGGGGTTTGGCTACAGGGGGTACCTGCCAGCCCTGCCCCATGAGCCCTTGAAGGGAGTGGTCAGAACACTCCTCTCCAGCCAGTGATGGTGGCCATGAGGGGAACCCTGGGGTGCCCGAAGACAGGCCCCTGAAGATGCCCTTCTCTTGGTTATTCCCCTTTCTCCACCCTGATCTCCAGGCTCAGGGTTTGCCAGCCTCCCTGGGGGCCTGAAACTTATGTCTCTCGATTCTGGGGAAAGGGCTAACGTTGGTAGGTTCAATCACTTCCTCATTCACTTGTTAGGTTATGGATTCACCAATTCACCCGCGGACTTAATGTTCCCTGAGCTGACCAGGTGCCAAGCAAGGCTCCAGGCGGTGGACACTGCAGCGAACAGACGGAACACCCTGCCCTCGTGCAGCCTCCATTCTCATGGATTCCTCACTCATCCACTGCCCCTTCATGCAGCAAACACGTGTTCGGCGCCACGTGCTTCCTACAGTTGCCACGGTGCTCTCTTAAGCATCACGCAAGTGCAAGGTCCTTCCATCCTGTCTGTTGAAAGCGCGCACGGATGTCTCCGGTGTGGACCTTGGTCGGGGATCCAGCCACCTCCGAGGCATCCGACACATGCTCATTTCAGTGCTCCAGGAACTCCCTCGCAGCACGGGGGAGAAACAGGGACAGATCGACATGGCGAATGGGAGTTCCCGGGGAACTGAAACTGACCAATTTCATTCCCAACCTGCCGACCACTTCCAGGGGCCGGGGGCCAGCCTGTCTTGAGCACCATCTCTCTAGCGCTTGCTCGTCTCCCAGGGTGGACAGAGAGCAGCGGCAGGATCAAGAGGCTTCTGCAGGCGACAAAGTTTCTGGCTAGATGTGAACAAGTTTGCTGCGCTTTCATTCTATGTATCTTTCAGGCTACCCTCTACTTATGTCAAGTGAGGTTGGTTTTCCATTTACTGAAGTGATGTAAATACATTTTAAATGAATCTATCTTACAGCATTTTTTCAGTGACTGGATTTAAATAGAAATATAAAGCAAATAACAGCCCAGGTGGCAGGTGGATAAGGCAAAATTGGGAAGGTGGTCCAGGAGTGACTGAATTTGGGAAATCCCATATCCCATAATATGTCTCCCGAGTCCATGGATACAGCAAATGAGAGAACCCAGGGGGAAGCTGAGGAGCCAGGTGGGTGGTCACAGCCAGAGCAAGGATGATGCTGAGGGGCGGGGCCACTGTGAAGTCCCCTCCCACCCTCTCGTCTCGGGATCGCAGTGCTGGGGGATGGCTGGAACCCACTGTGGCTGGTTTTGCCATGCCCCACCCCTCATCCCCCGGTGGCATTTCTTGAGCCAGCCTGCCGGTGGATTTTCCAGAACAGTAGGGGTTTTTCCAGAATTGGCTGCTCTAGAACTGATCAATGACTCACACACAAGGCAAATCTGTGCACGTTGCCAAAAATGTTCCCTGTAACCTCTGCTCCAGCCTCTGCCGCTCACAGCTGGGATCCTCTTCATCAAAAGGGAGAGAAAAGCTCCCCCTCCACATACACATACATACGCACTTGGACTTGGGGGTAACCCCATTCCTGCCAGCCTGAGTCCCTCCAGAAGCCACAGTGCAGTGACTGGACCTCCAGAAGTCTTGAGGAGTGTGACCGCCAAGGGCTGGGAGGCAGAGACCATGCAGGCTGAGGAGGGGCAGGGCCTGGAGACAGAGCAGCCTTGACCTTCATGCTCAGGAGGAAGCTGGCGATGTGCTCAGTGTTAACACTGGCTCCAAATGCCAGCCTGGCCCACTGAGCTCTGCGCTCCGGGTCAGCCTGGCCCTGGGACCTCAAACCCCATGATCCTCTGGGAGAAGAGCCCCGAGTCCAAGAGGGTGACTCCGGTTTCCTGCACTTCAACGCTCGGGCAGATGTTGCAGGAAGCCAGGCCCGCTAGGGAACGTGTATGTCCAGGATGTGCAGTGAGGTGTCACTGGTAGTGGACAGCGAGCTGGCAGCACCTGGGTGCCATGAATATGCAGACGGACAAGTAAAAGACCGTAAGTGAACACTGTGAGGATTTCAGCAGCCATCGGATGCAGAGGATCAGCCACGCATAGGAAGAAGGGTGGGAGAAGCAGGAAACAGAACGAGCTATATGACATGATCCCCTTTGAGAAAATTAAAAATCCATGCACCTACAACAGCCATACACATTTCATAAGAATGCACTTAAATCAAGAGACCCGAATCCAACAATTACAATGGTCATCGATGGGAAAGTCGTCCATGAAAGAGCAGAAGGCAGTGTGGCCTTAAAAGGGAGTAAACAAGGAATAAGCAGGGTGCTTTTTACAAACACTGTGTGCCAAGGACTGAGGACATTATCATTATTATATTTTATTGTTATTATTCTTGTTCTCATCACTTTTCACCAGGGTCAAAATGGAAAAAATCCCCACAACCTTACCAGATTTAAAGTTTCCTTTTGAAATAACTTTTTTTTTTTTAAGGGAGAAGTCAATTACAGAAAACACAGTAATATTAAAGGGTGTTGATACTTGAACTTGGCTGCACATTAGAATCATCTGGAGAATTTTCAAAAATACAGATGCCTAGGCTTCTCCCTGAGAGGTTCTG